GGAGCGTAATAAGGAGATGGACGATGTGGAAGCCAAGCTCAACTCCCTCGTCGACGACGCCAAAAAAAAGTTATCGGATGCCGTCGAGGAGAAAGACGTGGTCGTGGCTAAGCTGGCGAGTCTTGAAGGCAAACTGGCCAAGTTGACTACTAAGGTTGAGGATCTTGCAAAGCGGGCAGACCTATCCGATAAAAAGTTATCCAAAGCAGCTGAGGCAGCGAAGAAGCGTTTCGCTGAGGGGAAGGCCGAAGGGAAGAGGGAAGCTGAAGCTGAGGCTGCAGCTACCATCGACGCCAGGCACGCTGAGATTATTGAGGAGTTCAAGGCTTCTCCGGAGCTCACCGACATCCGCAACAGGGATTTTCAATCTGCAGGTCAACAAATTGTCGATCTGATCAAGAAGGAGCGTCCTGAGTGGGACTTGAGCTTCCTTTATAACACTCCTCCTCCTGCTGGCGATGAAAACCTTTCTCTGCCTGGTGACGGCATCCATTCTCCGCCTGGTGATGGCGATGAATCGGCAGCTGGCGGCGAAGCCTGAAAAGATTTGTACCTCTCTCTCTTTGTTTGTAACTTAATGTTGATTCAGACATCTTTTTATTTCACCTATATATACCTTCTCTTTTTTTTAAAGATAATGGATTTTATTCATACCTTGCTTTGCAATTGTTGCTTTAGAAAATTCCTTAGAATTTTGCTAAGTGTCCGTCTTTTCTCCTTGGAGAATTTGATGTCGATTATACCCCTTGGGGTCGTCGTCTTAGAAAAATTCCTTAGAATTTTGCTAAGTATTCACCTTTCCTCCTTGGAGGATCTGACGTCGAATTTACCCCTTGGGGCCGTCGTCATAGAAAATTCCTTAGAATTTTGCTAAGTGTCCGTCTTTCCTCCTTAGAGAATTTGATGTCGATTATACCCTTTGGGGTCGTCGTCTTAGAAAATTCGTTAGAATTTTGCTAAGTATTCACCTTTCCTCCTTGAAGGATCTGACGTCAAATTTCCCCCTTAGGGCCGTCGTCTTAGAAAATTCCTTAGAATTTTGCTAACTGTCCGTCTTTCCTCCTTGGAGAATTTGACATCGAATTTACCCCTTGGGGTCGTCGTGCCATGGTTTTAGTGATCCGTGGACCCCTGTCCCCCCATGTCTATTTGATATAACCTTGGTTTTTTAAGCATACATGTTATTAAGGGGTGAATTCTTTGCTTTCTGCAAACACATCAATTTATTTAATTCGTAGAGAATGTACAATTGGGGTGCGTAAGAATTACATACTCTATTGGTAGTACAACCTTAGCTGTTCTGCATTCCATGGGTGTTGAATTCTCTGCCATCGAGGCTTTCCAAATTGTAGGTGCCAGGACGTAGTACTTCCCTTATGCCGTAGGGCCCTTCCCAAGTTGGGCCCAATGGACCAGTATTTTTGGGTTTTGTGCTCTACGTTACCCTTTTTAATACTAGGTCTCCTAGGACGAACCTTCTTTGCCAAGCTTTCTTGTTGTAATATCGCGCTGCTCTTTGCTGATAGGCGGCGAGGCGTAGTTGGGAGTCGAGCCTTTTTTCTTCCAACAAGTCGAGTTCCCCATTCATGCTTCCGTGTTGTCGTCGTCGTTATGGACGACAGTTCTTAGAGTTGGCGTTTTGATTTCTACGGGGAGCACTGTCTCGACGCCATATGCCATGGAGAAGGGTGTTTCACCTGTAGTGGTTCGGCTCGTCGTTCTGTATGCCCATAAGACCTTGGGAAGTTCCTCGGCCCATTTCCCTTTTAGATCATCGAGTCTCTTTTTGAGGGTACACTTTAATATTTTATTGACCGCCTCGACTTGTTCGTTAGACTGTGGATGGATTGGTGCCGAGAAGTCTTTTCGAATGCCCAGGCTATCATAGAATCTGCGTGTTGAGGCATTTTCGAACTGCTTTCCGTTGTCGGATACTATTGAGTGGGGAACCCCGAACCTGCACACGATGTTGTCCCACATGAATTTGGTGCAGGCTGCTTCAATGGTTGTAGTTAGAGCCTTTGCCTCCGCCCACTTTGTGTAGTAGTCTACCGTGACGATTGCAAATTTAAAGCCTCCGGGTGCAAGATGTAATGGCCCAATCAGGTCAACCCCCCATTTGGCGAAGGGCCATGGACTGAGAATGGAAGTTAAATTTTCTAGGGGTGCTCTAGGAATTGTGGCATACCTTTGGCATTTATCGCAACATTGGGCGTATTGAAAAGCGTCCTTTTTGAGCGTGGGCCAGTAGTATCCTTACCTTAAAAAGTTTAGAGCCAAAGACTGCCCCAAGTGTGGTTACCGCAGACTCCTTCATGGATTTCTTGGAGGACCTTCTGGGCTTCAGCATTATCCAGGCACCGCTGTAGAGGTGTTGAGTAGCCTCGTCGGTAGAGCAAGCCATCGTACAACAAGTACCTAGCAGCTCTATACCTGATCCGTCTGGCTTCGTCTTTATTGTTTGGTAGTTGTGTGTCCAGTAGGTATTGGATGAGGGGCGTCATCCAATTTTCACCTGTTTGGATGATTAAGGCCTTAGCTTTTTCTTCAATAGTCAGCCGCTCCAATTCTTCGATGGGAACGACCCCTAGTGTGTCAGAATCTCTTGAAGATGCTAGCTTTGCCAGAGCGTCAGCGTTTGCATTTTTAGTTCGTGGTATCTGAAGTATCTCATAGTTTTTGAACTTAACGAGTTCTTCCTTTACCTTCCTCAGGTACGCTCCCATCTTCTCGCCGCGAGCTTGGTATTCTTCTTTTACTTGCCCGACGACCAATTGAGAGTCGCTGAAGGCGATGAGCATTTTGATTTTCAGGTGGCTGGCCAATCCCAGTCCTGCGATTAGTGCTTCGTATTTCGCCTCATTGTTCAACGCCTTGAATTTAAATCGAACCACCGAGGTAATCTTGTGGCCTTCTGGGCTGATTACCAAGACGCCGGCTCCTGACCCGCTTTCGCTCGACACTCAATCCACGTAGAGCTTCCATTCTATACTCTCGACTCCTTCAGGCGTGGCGGGAGTTGGCCTATGGGAGAGCTTGGCTAGAAAATCGGCCAATGCTTGGCCTTTGATCGCAGTTCTTGGCAAATATTTTATGTCGAACTGGCTCAGTTCTACCGACCATTTGAGGAGTCAACCGGAAGTTTCAGGCTTTTGTAGAGCCTGTCTCAACGGGTGGTTTGTAAGAACCCGTATGGTGTGAGATTGGAAATAGTGCCGAAGCTTTCTTGAAGCTACCATCAAGGCGAGGGCTAAGCACTCCATTTCGCTGTATCTTGATTCGGCATCGAGGAGTCTCTTACTTACATAGTAGATTGGCAATTGCACCCTTTCTTCCTCTCTTATTAGTACGGAGCTTACGGCGTGTTGGGACACAGAAAGGTATAGGCTAAGCTCCTTGTCGGGGTTTGGTTTCGACAAAATTGGGGGCTTGCCCAAATGTTACTTCAATTTTTGGAAGGCCTCTTAACATTGCGGTGTCCACTCAAAATGCCCGCTTCCTTTTAAAGCGTCGAAGAAGGGGACGCATTTGTCTGTCGCTTTTGATATAAACCTGTTTAGGGCGGCGACACATCCTGTTAACCTTTGCACTTCCTTTGGCTTAGTTGGGGACCGCATATCTCGTAAGGCTTTAATTTTCTCGGGGTATGCTTCTATCCCACAATTGCTAACCATAAAACTGAGGAATTTCCCCGACCCAACTCCAAAGGTACATTTCTGGGGATTAAGTTTCATGTGGTATTTTCTTAATACATCAAACATTACCCCCAGATGGTCGACGTGCTGGCTGGCCCTGGCGCTCTTTACAAGCATTTCGTCAACGTAGACCTCCATGGTCTTGCTGAGCTATTGAGCGAACATTTTATTCACGAGCCTCTGGTAGGTAGCCCCTGCATTTTTTAGGCGGAAAGGCATCACCTTGTAGCAGTAGAGGCCCCTGTCAGTTATGAAGGACGTGTGCTCCTCGTCGGCTGGATGCATGGGGATCTGGTTGTATCCGGAGTAGGCGTCCATAAAACTCAGCATCTCATGTCCCGTCGTGGCGTCGACCATTTGGTCTATCCGTGGGAGTGGAAAGCCATCCTTGGGTCCGGCTTTGTTGAGATCGCTGAAGTCGACGCATGTTCTCCAGTCCCCGTTGGGCTTGACTACTAGAATGGGGTTCGATACCCAACGTGGGTAATGGGCCTCCCTGATGAAGCCATTGTTGATCAGCTTGTCGACCCTGAACCCATTGTTGATCAGCTTGTCGACCTCCTCTTTCAGCGCTTCATACCTCTCAGGATTCATCGGTCGACGCTTCTGGCGTTTGGGAGGATATGAGGGGTCGACGTTCAGGGAATGGCATATAATGTTGGCATCGATCCCTTCCATGTCGGCGTGGTTCCAGGTGAAGACATCTAAGTTTTTCCTAAAGAAGTTCTCGATCTCAACCTTAAGTGATGGGGCTAAGTCTGAGCTCATTTTTAGCACTTTGGTGGACTCGCCTTCATCAACTTGAATTTCCACCAATTGCTCGATGGGTTGAGACCATGTGACCTCCTCTTGAACCCTGGGGTCTATGTCCTTGACGGGGTTCTGATAAACCATCCTAGCCTCCTGTCTCCCTGGCTGGTCATATATGCGCAGGGCATCGGAGTATGCAACCCTAGCTTCGTACTGGTTGCTCTTTATCTCGCCTACGCCATTTGGGGTAGGGAACTTGACCTTCTGGTAGTAGACGGAAGTTATGGCCCTTAGCGCCTGAAGGGTTGGTCTCCCAATCACGGCGTTGTACTGGGAGCCTCCTTTTATAACCACAAAGTTGGCCATCGTAGTAGCCTGTCGGGGTTTTTCTCCGGCGGTTATAGGCAAGCGGATGGTCCCCTGGGGGATGACGGAGTCCCCGGTGAAACCATATAGTAGCCTAGAGGTCTTTTCCAATTGTTCCTTTTAGATCCCCATTTTCTCTAAGCAGTCGGAGTTTAGGAGGTCCACCGAGCTCCCATTGTCTACCAAGATTCAGCACACGGTGTGGTTCCCTATCATGGCTTCCACCACCAATGCATCATTATGGGGGAAGTGAACTCCGCTGGCGTCGTCCTCGTTAAAGGCTACGTCGGTGTGGCTGTACCTTGGGGTTTTTGAAGCGGAGACGCTCCAGAATCGCTCCTGGTAAACCCCCCTGGCCTCGTGGGCGTAGTCCTTCTGAGACCTCCTTGAGTCTCCTCCTATATAAGGGCCGCCGAGGACAGTTCGTATGACGCCGACAGGTTCTCGGTCCTCTGGGCACTGGTTCTCCTCTCGGCGTCGACCGTCATTTTGTCCACCGTGGCCATCATGTCGAGGTCTTCGTTCAGCTTTGAACTCCTGTAGCCTCCCCTCGCGGATTACCCTTTCGATTTCATCCTTGAGGTCGGCGCAATCGTTGGTGTGGTGGCTGACATCGCCGTGGAACCTGCAGAATTTCTTCTGATTTCTCCGGTTGGGATCTGTCCTCATGGGTTCCGGGAGGCGCAGTAGATTTCTGCGGCCGACCTGATTGAAGACCTCCTCGACTCCTACTGTTAGTTCGTGGTAAGAATCGTACCTTTGAAACAGCCGAGGCTTACGGCTCTCCTCTTATCTTGGCTTTTTGGCTTCCAGAGCACTCAACGTCACGGCAGGCTGCTTGTCTCCGCTTCCTCCGCCTCGACGCTTTTTCCCATCCTGCTTTGCAGGCGCCGACCCTTGCTCGGTCCCTTTATTCTTGTTGGACCTATGCTCGGGGTCATTTGTGTCTGCCTCTTCGGCGTTGATGTATCCTTGTGCTCGCACAATAAATTCCTTGTAGCTGGATGGGGGTTTCCGGTTCAACTCTCCCTTGAAGGGGGTGATTTTCTTCATGCTAGACAATGCCCCCATCAAGGCCTCTCTGTCCGTTATATCCATCGTGGCGGCGACAGCTTCCCCGTATCTGGCAAGCCATTCCCTTAATGACTCATTCGGCTTTTGGTATATTGCCATCAGATTCTACTTCGGGGGGACGTACTTTTTAACCCCTATGAATTGGAGGGAAAATGCTTCCTTCAACTCATCCCAGCTCGAGATAGAATTTGGCCTCAGCGTCCGGAACCATCTTCGGGCAGAATCCGTCAAATGGTTCCGAAAGGCTCGGTACATGATCTCCTCAGTATACTCGTGCAAGAGCATGTCTCATGTGTACATCTCCAAATGGTCATCGGGATCCCCTCGACCATCATATGGTGGGATCGACGGTGACCTATATTTATCGGGGAGAGGGGGCTCCATTATTTCTTTGGTAAATGGATGGTCATGCGTGCGACTGGGCGTGATGTCTATGTTTACCACCTCGGCCACTCGCCCGATGTTCTTTTTTAGACCTGCCATGTCCCCCGTCAATTTTTGCTCCAAGCTGGCCATATGTTCCATGATGGCGCGCGCTTCTTCTGTTGAAATGGCCGAGCCAGCTACTCTCGATGCCTCTGCCCTCTGAGCGTTGGGTCCGCCCCTGGCCTGGCCGCCTGCCTGTACTGATCCTGAGTCTCCTAGCGGGTTTCCTCCTGGATTCTGGGGTAATACCTCGGGATTTCCCGGACCCCTTGGTACCCGGTCCTCGGGAGCTCAGAGTCCGGCGGCCCTTAAACGGCTGCCAGAGGATTGGGAAGGCTGAGGCCTAGGAGGGCCCCGGTGATTCTCGCTGTCCCCGGTTCCCTCTTAGATATGTGGGTGGTCACCGGGGTTCAGGTTTCCAGCCATGGCAGGTCCCTGCGGCCTCGGGGCATCTTCTAACGGCGGCATAGAGTTCCTCCCATCTAAGCGCTTAACCACGGTCATCAGCCCACGTACCAGCTCAGTTAGAGTGGTCAGTTGGGCCTGCATTTGCACAGGATCCGGCCGTGGCGCGTCCGGGGGTGGGACTTCGTCTTTGACCGGGCGTAGATCTCCTTCCATCCCGTTATTCCCTGGATGGATGGCGGTTTCGTCCGTCTCTCTTAAAGGCGTGCTTGCTAACTATGTTGTTGGGGGTCGAACGCTTTCGGTCCCCAGTGGAGTCGCCAATTGTTGACGGTGATTTCTCGTAAACAAAAAACTGGCTGTGTTACCTCTGGGCTTCCCTTTGAGTTACCGGCCTATGTGTTGAATATGTGTGAAAATTTATTATTCGTGGTGTATGGTGTGTGTAGTTTGTGGTGTGCACAAATAAAGAAGACAAGAAATTTTATAGTGGTTCGCTCTGTAAAATTAGAGCTACATCCACTGTGGTCGTATATTTCTATTTGAGGGGATGACAATTTACATCAATTGCTATCTCTCACTCTCTTCTTTCTCTTCTTGGATCTCAACCCCCTCCTCGTAGGGGGTCTCCCTTCTTTTATACTGGGCTTCCTTCGCTGGGTGGGTTTCTCTCGTAGGCAGAAGCACTCAAGTGCTCTCCCTTTTTAGGCCCAGACGTAGCCCACTAATCAGCACTGTTCACTCAGCCAATTAATCTTCTATTACGGCTCTGTGCGTCCCTATAACACTCTCCTGTCCCCTGTGGGGCGGTTTAAGAGCTCGCAATTAATGCCTGCTGACGTCCTCCACTTTTGTACGCAACTTGCCACGTCCTCCAGAGAACGTTCCCCTCGTCGCCAGCGACGCTTAGTCCAATCGTCCTTCTTGGTGGTCGATTCTGCGATCAAGGGATCTTTGTGCCTTAAGCTTGACGGCACGATCTGTCGACTCCAGAAGGAATCGTTGCCCTAAGTTGGACTTCGTGCTTGGGCTCTTCGGAGCGGTAGACGTCGAGGGTTGTTGCTTGGCGAGGAGTAGTTACGGCCACGTGTCGTATTATCGTTCGTCCAGGTGTCCGTCACATTTTCCCACACAACATACATTGATGTGTTGTTGGTCGTACAAAATTTACATTTGTGTCCGTTTTGGCTTCTTTAAAAAAAGAATGTAATTGCTTTTGGCTTTCCTTTCATCATCGCTCAGTTTTGTTTTAATTTTTTTATTTGTGTAAAGTGATCACCCATTTTTTGTTTCAAGCTAGGTAAGTTAGATCTAAAATTGTAATAATCTTTTAAATTGCATCATCATGTTAGATTTGTCAAATATACACACATATTTATTTTTTAGGTTACATCATAACGATCAGACTCTTTTTACATTTTTAGAGATTATAAATCTTGCAATCTCATGATTTTGTAGAGTTTTAAAACTTACAATTATATTTTGATTTTTTGTTTGGAAGTTCTAAATTTTGTAACCCTATAACTTTATAGAGTTCTAAAATTTATAACTCTATTTTGATTTTTTTTTGAAAGTTTTAAATTTTTCAACCTCATAATTTTGTAGAGTTTTAAAACTTTCTACTTTATTTTGATTTTTTATGCAGATTTTAAATTTTACAACCTCATTATAGAGTTTTAAAATTTACAACTCTATTTTAATTTTTTTTAAGGTTTGAAATTATGTAACTCCATAACTTTATAGAATTTTAAAACTTATAGCTCTATTTTGATTTTTTTAGAGGTTTTTAAAAAAAAAATTTGCAACCTCATAATTTTCTATTTGCAGCCCGTATCTCTTAAAACCTAAATCTGACCAACACTAATGAATAAACTTATTTTCTTAAGATGACTCTTCGGTACGAGAGAAGGCTGAAGAGAAATCTTATAAATAAAATGAGGTGAAAGCAAATGAGTTAAGACTAATTTTTAGCTCTCTGTTTTTTTTTTCTGGGTCTGTTTAGTTCGCTGATTCAAGTTTTTAATTTAAGTTGTGATGTAATTTTATGTGAGAGTTTTTTACTGTAGTAAAAAAATTAAATGTGATTATTTATAAAAACTTTTTACTGTAACAAAACTCAAATTTTAAACTCGAATCAATAAAATAAATGAGATCAATTTCACTTCACTCTCTCACTATCTCACACTTTCTCTCACTACCTGCAATACACTCACATTTCTCTGCACAAATTTTGCTACGTGGGAATTCCAAAAAGGAAAGTCTTATTTACACGCCTATACATAGGCATATGAGACAAACCCGTCAAAAGTAACTTTTCCCCCTTTTTTCTTTTTTCTATAAATTAATAATTTTTTTGTAATTCTCCACTTTCATTTTGATTGGCTTCTTTTCACAGCACTTAAACGTGATTGGCTACCTTTATCTCTCAAGGATTGCCTCCACTCACGTAGATCACTGATGTAGAAGTTAACTTCCTAAACTTCCCCACGTTGCTTTTCATCAGATTCCTCACTAACACATTTTCATTTTTGCCCATGCATCCACTTCCTTTAAGAAGTTATCCAACTTCCCTGGTGACCATATATATTTTTTATTTTTTATTTATTGTATTTTTTATTTCAACAATACCCCCTTAGTATGTACATGACATTTATGTTCGCGTGTCATACTCAAGAAAAGAAAAGAAAAAAATAATTTTCTATTCATCTTTTGTCTCTGTTTTTTTTACAGGCTTATTTATGAATACTTATGGTAAATTTCTTTCAGAACGAGCCCCTGAGAAATTTGACAATGAACTTACTTTAGGGCCCAGTTACCAATGTTCGGTTGGTTTAGGCGAAGTTCAAGCTTCAACAAAATTTAGTGGTCCCCTTTCTTTGTTCAATTCTCAAGAAGTTCATTCTGGTTATTTGAGATATCTCTTCGACAGTGAAGAAAATACCATCCAATTGAGTCAACGGAGAGGTGTTGTTTTCAAAGCTGAAACCCTTGAAGAAGTTGACAAAAGACATGAAGGGGATCTCAGGAACGTAGTTACTCCTGATTTTTATCCTGCTTTGTACTGAATACTATAAGAAAAAAGAAACCTCCTTCACAATTCAATTTTTGTGGCCGAGCACACTTCCAACTTTGTTTAATGGAGTGGACTACAAAGATTATAAGTCGCAATCGCAGCGTTTTGAAGAATGCAGTGATTTATGATGCAGTAGCTGTTGCGCAATATCCTCTCTCATAACTGTAATGTTTGGCGAGCTTTGTTGAATTGTGGACGCCAACAAGCAATACTCTCCATCATATTGGTAGTGAAATGGGAATCTCATTATATGATCCGAAAAGCATCGGAGGTTTGTCTATTTTGGGAATCTCGTATGAAGAATTCATTCTAACAAATAAGAAGCTATTGAACACTTCTTTATATCATCCTTGCGTTGTAGAACTTTTAAGGATCCATTCCCGTATATATAATGTTTTGAAAACTCAATTTGTATCTTGGGATCAATGGACTGAATATTTTTATAGAGGAGAACACATGTTTGTTGGTTTGTAAACTGAACAGGCTCAAGATTCTCATTCTAAAGATTTCCATAAGAAGCCTTGAAAATGCCAATTAAGACAACTTCTTTTGCAGGTTTCGGAAGTTGGTATGGTCTATGTGTTCATATCACTGTGATTAAGTCGTTTCGTCCTTCCTACCAAAGGTTGCCTCTTTGATGGCTCAAGGCAAAAGAGTATCACTTGCCCCCACAGTTTTGGGATACATTTAT